GACATACTTCCTTACATAGGTCAGGTTCAAGTTCAAGCAAGGAGGTTACTTAAGTTCAAAACTAAAACATTCCCTAAAATGTTATATAAACAGAAATTTAATTCCAATTCAGCCACATACTAATTAAATACTTATTACGAAGAATTTATTTTAATTATTTTCTGTATAAAAATTCAGCATTTTTTTTACATTTTGATTATGTATATACATTTTGCTATTTACAACATTTTTCTTTACACCGACCTTGGCTGTAATAAGAAAAATTATTTGAGGCATTATAGTAAAGTTAGTCTGCATGCAATCGTACTATTTACGTGCAAGTGTGATGAAATTTCATTATAATCCGTCTTTTTTGAAAATGGAGTAAAATGATTTTTTTTAAATTTATTTCTGTCCATGGAAACAAAGTCCTTCAGCCGAAAACATAAAAATAAGTTTTTCTGTAAATATGGCCGCCACAAAGAGGATAGGCAATTTGAGGCGGCGTGTTTGGATTGACTCGGGATTCCTTAGAACGGGCCGATACGGGTATTTTAGTTCGAGATTCGTATAATTTCGCGTTTTAATCTTCGATTAAGGCACAATAGCACTATCCTATTCCACTTTAAACTAGATTTCACAAAATAATTGAAAGTCAAAATAAAAACGACACTTTTCCCTCCAAAAGGTCCAGAGCGAATCCCCCGGAGTAAAATGATAGTTCAAAGTGTTGCCCGCTTGTGAGCAACTAGTGATTACAACCGATAAATATCATAGCGACTATTGACTGAACGTTAATTATGCTGATGAAAGAAATAGACGAAATTGTTCATTTCATTCATTATCGGTCTATTATACGTACAATTGCTGGGTTCATTTGAATTGTTGATTTTTGAAAATTCATTCATACATACACTAAATTTAGAAATATGTTTATTAATAATATACACTAAGTTTAAAAATATGTGTATTAAAAATAGGAGACATATTTTTAAAATGTTTCGTTTTTAATTTATTTTTTTTATTGACCAAAATTCAGGAAAAATACTTATTTACTAATTACAAGCTTCGCTCACAAAAGCCCTTCCGGCTTTATCCGCGGCGAAGGAGCTCAGTATATTTAAGATATAATATAATAATATAATAGAGCAAAAATCTTAAAAAACTGACTTAATTAGTTCTAGACAGGTACAAAAACATGGTCACTTACATGTGCATATCAATGGCATATAATAACAATTTAGCAATTTACAAAAAATACATATAATCAAATCCGCCTGTCGTTATTAAAATGTGTATGACTAAAAATACATTGCGATAATAATATACCAACTGTCAACATAAGAATAAAGAATACAACAAACGCAATCAGTAATCATTAGAACGTGTACCATTCACAATTTCGTCATTTTTGGCAAATGTTTACGTACTACTACATACGTACTACGTACGTATTACTACATGACTATTTAAAATTTAACGAAAACTGGCAACCCTGCAAATGTCATTTTACTCCATCTTCAAAACAGACTTTAGAATGTCGTAATATTCACAATTCAGATATTTTGTCAAAATTTTACCTACTTTCATAGTTAAACCGTCTATAACATTAAGATAAACGTCGGTTATTTATTTATTTATTCATTTTAGGAAAATTGACGGACAAATAATACAATTATAGTTATGCTTATATGCAAAGGGCGCACTATAAGTTTCCGGAACTGGTCACTTACATAATTTTTTTTTTATTTATTGAGGCTTTGGCAAAGCCATCAGCATGAACATGAAGTTTAAATATGTTTCTGTAAATATGGTCGCCATAAAGAGGATAGGCAATTAGAGGCGGCGTGCTTGGATTGACTCGGGATTCCTTAACACGGGCCGATACGGGTATTTTAGTTCGAGATTCGTATAATTTCGCGTTTTAATCTTCGATTAAGGCACAATAGCACTATCCTATTCCATTTTAAACTAGATTTCACAAAATAATTGAAAGTCAAAATAAAAACGACACTTTTCGCTCCAAAAGGTCCAGAGCGAATCCCCCCACTTATATGTATAAACAATATTTAAAAAGTAATTACAACATTTGAAAACGGAACTCTTTGGCTGTAGAGTACAGTTTGTTTCATCTGACTGTCACTTGTTTTTACATTGCGGCGTCATTTTAGAAATTGGCTGTCTACATCACCATGGATTTAAGTCGTGAAAATTTTTGTAGTTAGATTTTCTACGACTTTAAGTGTAATTTAACAGGTCAGCGGATCTTCGCTCGGCTTCAAACTGCTTTTGGCGAGGAAGCACCATGCAAGACGACTATTTATAGCTGGTTTGCAGAATTCAAACGTGGTCGTGTGAATCTCAGTGACGAATTTCGTGATGGTCGCCCGTCCACTGCTGTGAACAACAAAAACATCGATGCTGTGCGCCGCATGATCAAAACAGACAGACATGTGACATACCATGAGATTCGGGCATCTTTAGGCCTAAGCATGAATCAAATACAATCAATACTACACAAACATTTGGGTGTGAAAAAGCTGTGCTCTCGGTGGATCCCACACAATTTGACTGAAGCTTAAAAAACGGATCACGTCAACGTTGGTGCAATGCCTTGCTTACCAGATTCAACGAAGGGACGTCAAATTTGGTGTAGGACATAGTAACAGGTGACGAAACATGGATTTATAATTACGATCCCAAAACAAAGCAGCAATAGAGCGTATGAGTCTTTCGAGATGAGCCGAAACCAACCAAAGTGGCGCGCGTACAAAGTGCCTCTAAGCGGATGATTGCTTCTTTTTTTAATAAAACTGGACACGTGGCTACTGTTGCTTTGAAGAATCGTTGTACCGTGAATATTGATTGGTGCATGACCGTTTGTTTATCGGAAGTTAGTGACAAACTCCGCAAAAATAACCGTGAACGCCATATCATCTTGCACCACGATAATGCCAGTTCTCACACGGCCAGATAGACAAATTAATTTTCGAAGGTGAACAACGTTGATCTTATGAGCTATCCCGTGTACAGTCCCGACCTGGCACCTTGTGACTTTTATTTATTTCCAAAAATGAAGAACCAGTTACGCGGTCAACGATTTTCATCACCTGAAGAGGCTGTCGAAGAGTATAAAAAATATGTTTCAGAGATTGTCACGGAGGAGTGGCTTAAAATGTTTTCAAAATTTGAATATTTTGAGAAACAATAAATTCATTTCTGACCATTTATAATATTTTTCTTATTTATTCCGGAAGCTTATAATGCGCCCCATGTATGAGTAATCCAATGCCATTTACGAGTTTCTGCCAAGATAAAACAATATAAAGTGCTTAAACAAGGCCAAAAATAAATTTTAACAAAAAAAGAACATCGTTATATAAATAGAAACTAAGTAATTAAAATACATAGTGAGTGAAATAAAAAAAGAAAATAGACAATTAGACAAAAACCAGTGTAATCATCGCCAGTCACGTGGCGTGTCAAAGTGACGTTTGATCATTTCTCGCCTGACTGTGTCTATGCCTATGCAACTATATGACTATTTCTTTCCATCATCGGGGGACTAGACGTAGGCTTGAATTCCACCCCTATGTTGTGGATATTCCAAAGATTCGCACGAAGCGTTACGCTTCCACATTCGTATGGATATGGAGTGGAATTCCCTGCCTGCAGACTTGTTCCCTGAACGTTATAACTTTTACCTTTTCAAGGCGAGAGTGAATTTAGGTGTGACGTTTTTTAGGTGTGCATGCTCCATTGTCGCCCTCATCGTCAGTTTCCATCAGGTGAGATGGAGGAAAACTGGCAACCCTACAAATGTCATTTTACTCCATCTTAAGAAAAACAGACTATAGGCTATGGTAACAAAAATTCAGTTCCGCGGCAATGTACATAGCCTTAAACTCAATGTTTGACCAATATCTGATAAGTTTAACTTTAACTGACGGTTTAATCCCTTCAGTGAGGGAAGACCAAGGCGTATGTATTGCGACTTAACGTCCAGAGTAATTTTATTAGACCCTCTCTCCCCATCTGACGCATGTCCTCAATATTATATCGCACTGCTATTACAATAGTGTTGTAATTCAAAATATGTGAAATTCAAGATTTTACCATTGCTGAACGTAAAATTGGATGATCCACGCTTGAATAAAACTGTCGTTAGAATATTTTGGGAAAAAGTAAAAAATATCAAGTTAGCTCAAAATGAGGCAAACTTTATGCGAGCTAGTTCTAGCCAAAACAGTCCTTACTTAAATATATGAAATTATTTTTTCACTATGTAAAGGAGGGAGGTTCTTTCGTCCGTTGGATGAGGTTCCTTACCAGAACAAGCCAAGTGAAACTCCAAATGGTTCAGAAGATTTTTATTTTCACCTTGTATCTCGCTAATACAATTCCACTCTATATGCGGAAGGTCCGGGCAGTTGTTCCCAGAAGGGACTCGACTCCTGGAAACCGTTCCGCGAGATGAGGTTCTTCACCCTATATGAGCGTACGAAATATCAGGAGATCCGGGTAGCAGTTTCCAAGAAGGGACTCAACTCCTGGTTGCCTTATTGAGCTCTCTGAATTCTCAGATTTCTCTTCCCATTAACAAACTTGTGTTCGAGTAGTCACCATTCGAGGGAAAATGTTAACACCGCAATTCAGAAATAACGCCAAATGGGTCAATGCCATCTAGCGGATTCTTAGAGAACTAAAAGTGAACAATCTGGCTTAAAGCTGTCTATTACATAAAGTAGGTTTGTTACCACTTTTATTTTTAAGTATATTTTACAAGTTTAGATGTTTGTAGTAAATTTTAACCTATTTATAAAATTTAATTTTCTTTCACGGGAACTGACCAGTTCGTTTTTCATCGATTCTTATAAAATACAATTTTTGAGTTAATACACTATTGTATTAACATTGCGATATAAGAATCGCTTTCAAATAAATACACCCTGTATGTAAATATTTTTTAATTGTCCGTTTTATATACCACAGTTGGTCGGTGCGGTTCTTAGACGTACAGGAGAGCCGCCGGTGTCCCAACGCCCCGATTTCTAATTCCGGATTCATTAAGTTTTTATACCAAAAAAAGTTTATTGACATCAGTGAACTTTTACCATTTAGTCAAAGGTGAGTGAAATAGAAATAAATACACACATAACAAGTGTCTAGGATTCAAACACGGTTTTGCCAATTACTGAAAATAAGGTATTTTTATTATTTTTTTTAATACCGTTGGATTTTTTAGTTCAGTTTTGTAATTTCAATTCGAAAATGAAATTGACCAAAAAGAATCCACTGTAGTTGTGATTTTTTCTTAATTAGAACTTACATGTATAATCGTTCGCTTAAAGGCAAAACCATATAAGTGACATTTTCCGCAAAAAATCTCCAAATTATTGTACCAAATGTAAGAAATTCATCTTTCTGCAGATAAAACTCTTAATAAGTTTATTGCTTTTTGTATTATTGAGTTTCACGTGCAGAAACTTACCGTAGCTATGTAAATTAAAGACTTTTGTGGAAAATGTCACATATGTGGTTTTAACTTTAAACAGACGTATGTATGATAAGTAGATAAATAATAATATGTAGTTAGCTCGTAAAGGTTATCTTATAATGAAATAAATAAGAAAAAATGCTTGACCACCATGATATTCAATTATTTTTGTGAAATTACTCCACGAGTTTGTAATAATTATTAACACAAAGATCTGGTGGACATTATTTAATCAGTCACAGATCACGTCAGTATATTGTAATGTAAACAATGTTGAATGTCAAATAACTGATTCATTTTACAAATGATACGAATTTTCGTAAAGTAAAAAATTTCATAAATTTCAAAATTTATGAATCACAGACCATATAAATACTGTATGAACGGAATGGGATATCTTTAAACCACACGCTGCTATGATTTTGGCTTAAACTTTTAAAATAGTACTTAATGTAATCGTTGCCTAATGACGGTTCTTACGAGATTTTAACACCTAATTGTATAATGTTTTACAAGTAAATAAAATAAGTAAACACAACTAATATTGAATATATATTTTGTTAACATTATTCATTGTAACAAACATTTTTTTTAAATAAATTTTCACCCATTTATTAGAGTACCTAGGCGAAGAAACTCTACGAAGAAACGCTGCAAAACAAAAAACCACAGATACAATAGAAGTGGCGAAATATCGCTTATATTTTAACCAATCTTTTTTATGAAGGTTTATAGCCCAGTTGAAAGATCTTTAGGCCAATTTAACTAACCAGGACGCAGTAGAGCCTTTGAGTAGCGTTATTAACCGACTTTAAAAAAAGAAGGAGGTTCTCAATTCGACTGTTTTTTTTTGTATGTATGTTACGCGATAACTCCGGTATTTGTGAACCGATTTTCATGATTCTTTTTTAGTCGGAAAGAGGGTACCTCCATAGTGGTCCCATTTAATTTTGAAGAAAATCATCCACCTCTTAGTGTGGCTGTTTATGTAAGTGAAGATTCATTTTTGTAAATAGCGCCTAAATTTTAGTATAATGAGCAATTATTTTAATGGTTGATTTTGCTATTCTTTAATTCAAGGCGTTTTTCTCTCATTACACTTTGAGTAGTGAGAACCGATTTTTATTATCTCCTGTGTCAAGTCCCGTATAGTGGCGCACTAGGGGATGAATCCGGGTTTGCGCTCTTTCCGGTAACCGATTTCAATAAAACTGGGTAATTATATGTAATTCCACGCACTTTTGAGGTCGGTTTTGTTAGTACTCTGTACTGATTATATTTCATATTTTAATTAGCAAAAATACGACGTTCTTTTTTTGAAACTCATAGTTTTGTGTACAGAACTATAATACTGATTGTCGTTACTCAAAGTTGTTTTTGGAAAACAAAAGTATATAAAATGCCATTTTGTATATAACTAAACATGACAAAATTCTAGTAGGTATGTATGAAAAACGATATATTAGTAGTTTTATTTCGCCATTTTTTTTTATTATTCTTTCAGTTCCTCGCATATTTTCCGTTTTGATTTAAGACATTTTATTTTTTGGTATAACGATGGGTAAGATACGTGATATAAAACTCGTTACAGTGAATATGAAACTGAAAGTACTTAAAAATGCGATACTTATAATAATGGAAACAAGGGACCGTATTTTATGTAGATTATAACAGAATACAAAGTTTCCTGTCCCCGAACAATGAAAAGGTTCAGGTCAAATGTCGTGTAGTGCATAAGTAGCTTTAAACAATTTAACATGACGGAATACCGGAGAGTGTTACAAATAAAACATTTCTTCAACCAGACTATAATGCCAAAAAGAAATGTAATTATAACACACCGTCTACGCATGCATTTGTGTCTACGTATGCAATCTCACGAGGTGTTTAAAACACTTAGAGCAATGCAGTACCGATGCAATCGCTGATCGTCTACATTTACACACGCGCGCGTTTTTAAGCATCGATGCACACGCGCGACTGCATCGATACAAACGCGCGATTGCATCGCAACACTTGGCATTTATAGGCGATTGCACCGATGCAAATGCGCGACTACATCGATACAAACGCGCGATTGCATCGATGAGTATACATCGCAAGTGTAGCGATGAAATCGCGCGTTTCATGAAAGCGTGTTTGCATCGCTGCTAACACTCGCAGTGTGTACCAACACTTAAAATGAAAATGAGCCCTTGATTTATAAATAAGTCGTTATAACATTATTTACGAGTACAGACTAGCGTTTTGTTTATTTTTTTAAAGCCTCGCATTAGGGAAACCCCTGTATCGCAGGTGCCATGGACGAACACCTAGACAACCACAAATTACACTTAAACTCGCGAGAAAAATAAATGTAGGCTATACAAATAATTCGTATTCGGGACGCATGCGTGACAGTCGAGTATGGTAACCGTTCGGCCACTGATGTATTTATTTACCTATATGAAATAGTAAATCACGCAGTAAAAATCTCAATATATTTTTATGTATATATATTCGAGAGTTTAGATTTGTTCGACGTTTTAGCGGTTAAGACCTGAACTTGTAAAGTCCATGTACGGGCTTACTTGCACAGGTTTATAATGTCATTCCCATATAACCAAGCGATTGATAGAGATGGTATTCTGACCACTTCGTACATTTTGCTTTGTATGTTCAAGAAGATGGACGTCGTTAAATAATAGATGGGCGCTGGCATCTCTCTTTTTGCCACACAATTTGTAAATATATCACTGTTCATGCCGTTAGGCTTTGGAATGGACTTCCTATTTCTGTTCACGAAAGTAAATCGTTAGCTATTTTTAAAGTGAGAGTTAAAGAACATTATTTATCTACTATTTCATCCATATCTTAGGTATTATATTAAGTATTATAATATATTATATTAAGTATTTATTTTAATATTATTATATTTATATTATATTTTGTTTTTGTATTACTTTTTTTTAATATTGTGCACGAAGCCCGTTCTTTTAGTTATCGTGTCCTGTATTCAGGTCTGCAGGCAGAAATTTTTGTTAGAAATAAGCAGAACCTTTTGTTTGTATTTTCCTAGTATTTGTATTTTACTTGTACGAACCCGGAACCTCGGAGATGGTGACACCATGAAAACCGGTGTGCAAATATACCTATTTTATTACAGCAAGTTAACGACTTGCTCTTATGGTAATTTTAGTTTTGCCGTCTTGCCTTATTAGGTTTTTAAATGAAGCTACAATGTAACAAATTATTTTAATTGATGAATTCGGTAAAAAAAATAATGAATTTGTAATTACTAATTACCACATAAAATAGGCACTTGTTTAGATTTCTGTGGTAGTGGAAATTACATGGAACATTTTCATTAAAATATTCCAACTACTAACGTCATTGGAGGTATTGACACAGAAAATCACAAATTTATTCATTAAAACATTGTTGATTCGTATTCGAAGATCCACTGCGCTCTTATTTTGAATAACCATATATTTAAATGATAATTGTAAATTTGCAAAAACAGCAAGCAAAAAATCTAAACGGCCATCTTATTCAATGATTTATACTTTTTCTCTGAAACATTTTAATTTGTTCTGTGCTAATGTTTGAGTTGTATAAACTAACTTTTGATATTGAGCCTCAAAACTAAAACAACTAAGCATTCAAAACCTGAAACCATATTCGGAATGGCAAGCAAATTCGCTTCAGCTTTTGCATATTCTAACCTAACCTACTGAATGGAGGGCGCAACCAAGATTTAACCTATGTGAAAAACAGGATCAAATATTATTCTTGACGTTAAATATAATGACAGTTTTACCTTGACCGCATTGACCTGAACCATTGACTTACAATTATATGGACGTCGGGTCCGCGCTAAACAGTGTCCGCACTTGTAAGGCGCTAAAATCGTATACAGAGCGCCAAACTCCGCTTTAGTCTTCATTTGTTCGACTGACAGCGCGATACTGCGATGACATTACAATTTAAATTTCGAATAGGTTGACTTGGGACATTTTTTTCGTGGTTTTTGTATTAGACCCGTCGTCCATTTATTTGTAAGTCAATGACCTGAACGCAATAAATTTATAATTTATCAGTAGATCAACTAATATAACAGATAATATCGACGCCGGAAAGCGATCTTGTCGTATCTCGAAAAATAGGCCTTTGCACCAGTTCCGAAAAATTATTTCTCTTTAATTTGAATTAGTAGAAAGTCAATTTTAAAGTATGATGTATATAATCATACCTTAAAATTTACTTTCTACTGATTCAAATTAAAGGGAAATAATTTTTTGAAATAATTTTTCGGCACTGGTGTAAAGGCCTATTTTTCGAGATGCGACAAGATAGCTTTCCGGAGTCGTTATTTATATCAAACATGAAAAAAATATTTTTTATTTAAATAAGTTCAATTAAATCTTTAAGAAACAATTAATATTATCCCTTTGACTTATTTGATAATAATGATAATATCGACGGTCTTTTTCAATGTCAAAATAAGTGCGCATTTGACCTCCTCATCCCATAATGAAAAGTAACAATAAGATCGATTGCGAAGCATGCACACCTATACAATGCCTATGCATTCTCAGCTTGAAAACGGCCCGAATTATAGCGTTCTGGAAACAAATCTGCAGGCAGGGAATTCCACTTCAATAGGTTGCTGGGGAAACTACCGGCACATGAAACTTATCAACTTATGTTTTAGGGTGACAGTGCCCCTCAGATCTTTGTGATTTAAAGATATGAGTAGTGCTGCAACTGCTATGGACAGACCAGGCGCACAGCTTATTTCATTCCGTCAGATGGTATCATAAAAAGAAATATATATATTTTTTATAGTATCAAGTGACGGGACGAACAAGTCGTGCGCCTGATGGTAAGTTACACGTCTACCCATAACAGTTGCAGTGCCACGCCCGTCACCCTGAGACATACGTTGACAAGTCCCATGTGCCTGTAATTTCACTACCACCGTTGCCCTTCAACACCGGAACAAAGTAATGCTGATATTACTGCTGGGCGGTAGAAATATGTAAACTGGCAGTACTTCCCTGGAAGAACTCATTCACATGGAGCTCTGAGCTATTGAAGTATGGAACATATACACCTTTATAAATTCACTCTCGCCTTGAAAAAAAAATTTAAAATTAGATCAGTGTTCCGGAGAACGGTGGCGAATGTCTGTATTGACATATACCTTTAAGTTCTAATTTGCGTACACTATCGCTTACAATGAGGGAAAAGACCGTAATGTAGCCTGCAAGTCGAAGACGGTTCACAACCTTTGAACAACGTGTGAAGTCGCCATCCGTACAGGCATTCGTTACCGACTATGGCTTAAACTCCAGACACCTGTACCCAGCAATGGAAACTGTTATCAGTTGATATGGAAGATATCCTTAAGCCACTGTTACAGACTTTACTACTATAGTCAACATAACGGGGTGTGTGATGGCAACTAGATTGATGCCGTGCCCATCTGCGGATCATATGTGGGTTAATTTAATATACTTTCTCAAAGTTATCTCAAACATTGTACACGCGTCAGGATTGCACAAGAATGAACTGTCTTTTTTAATATTGCAGATGGCACCACCAGTAATGGCTGAGGACAGGCTGACGTCAGGGCACCGGCTATCGCATCCCCCACCCGGAGACGAGATCCTTATTAGCGGCGTCTCCGGGTACTTCCCTGACTCTGATTCCGTCGTCGATCTGAAAGAAAACCTGTTTAATAAGGTATGTATGAATAATGGGTCACCCGGATAGAGATATCTCATCCAGCTAAAAGTTTAAAGTCGACTCTTTCCGCGAATTTTAGTAGTTGTCAGTCACCAGCCTTATATACATCTATTGCAGATAATTTAAGCGACGTCTACTTAATATTACAGCCCTCGCAGTTTGTGCCATCCACCACGATCTTACTCTTGTCTCATCATTCTACAGTTTGCGACTTTGACAATGTCCACTTTGAGAATATTAGGTAGATTAGAATTAGCGACACAGAGATATCTCGTTCGTTCGTGGCTAAAAAATCCTATACGAGAAGGATAGCAACGATCGCATTTATGGCAAAAGAAACGCCATGTGGATGATTGCGATTAGGTGACAGAGAGGGCATTTATGAGTTTAAAGATCATGCAAGTTTTTGTGAGGGAATTGACAAATTCTTTCACCACGATGGCAAGCATGTCATCAATACTATAAGAAGAACACCAAAACCAAAGCTTCGATTTCATTTGCTTTGTTTTTATGAAGAAGAAGATGTATTGTGAGCAAGAACTCGACTACGATTTTTCTCCAGGCTTCAGGATATTCGGCCTTGTTCTTCTTTTCAAAGATAGTGTAACACGTGATATGATATCCTTTAAAATTGACTACGCTAGCTAGATTGGTAGATGATGAGTCTTATGCTGCTCCTCACAGTAATGAGCCAAAGATGTCTTAAGTCGATGTCAATCACAGTTCCTTTTAACAACCTCCGTGATCCAGTGGCTTGCACGCCGGTTTTCATGGTATCGCCATCGCTGAGATCTCGGGTTCGATTCCCGGCCGGGTCAATGTAGAAACTAACTTTTAAATATTGTCTTGGGTCTGGGTGTGTGTGATACCATCGTTGTTTCCAATTTCCATATCACAAGCGCTTTATTTACTTATTTTGGGATCAGAGCAACGTATTTGATGTTGTCTAATATTTATTTATTATACTTTTAAGCATTGACTTACAAATGAATGGACGACGGGTTTAATACAAAAACCACGAAAAAATGTCCCAAGTCAACCTATTTAAACGTAGTGACATGTAAAGGAATATGAAAAAGCTAAAACGTTGATTTTAAATTGTAATGTCATCGCAGTACTGTCTAATTTTGCTTGCTTCGCTGTCAGTACAAACGAAGATGACGCTCTGTATACGATTTTAACGCCCTATAACTTCGGACACTTTTTAGCGCGGACCCGACGTCCATATAATTGTAAGTCAATGCTTTTAAGCATCTATAGTTCAAGGCGTATCAGACGACATTGACTTCATACAACTAATTTATAGTAAAATTGTGCCACACAACAAGTTGTACTCTATACTGTCACTTATTAGCGTTCTAATTTGAATACAATATATATAACGTAAGGTACAGTTTTCAACAATGAATTTTAATGAGTTTGAATGTACCAAGCAATCACACTAAATAACTGGCCTCAAATTAAGGAATGTACTGTAAGTACTAAAGCAACGCTATTAAAGCCAAAGTATTACTCAAAATAAGACCAGAGCCAATTTAGAAAAATAACTCTAGATGCATCCAAATTTTTTTGTATTCAACGGCCAAAACTAAGTTCACAATTTTGATGACACTGTGGTTAATTTTGATGACATCAGCCCAACGATTTATATGCGGTGGATGATAAGGTTCCATTTCTCGAGCTCGATAATAAAGTTCATACCACGTACAACCAATTTGGAAATTTAGCTTTTCTAAACAGGTTCTGGTTTGGATGCTTTGTTTAGTGCCCCGGAGTGAATTCTGTTGCTCTTGTACAAGGAATTCCATAGTTTGACACCAGGTAAATCCTTGTGTTTCGCTTGCAAATTATTCTTATTTATTTAATTATTTTCCTTTTTTTCTCCCTTCCCTTTTCTCGTTTTATTTGGAGTTGGACCTCCTTGCACGTTGGCGCCAGGACGCTCTATCCTGCGTTATCGTTGGTAAGATATTCAGGGCGTTCAGGTCTTTCTCAACATTGGTCCACCATGTAAGCGCTGATCTTCGTCTTTCACGGGGTTTGGTGGGGATGTTTAATACTCCCTTTACTAAGTAACTTTTGTCTCTATCGGTCGGTTCTCTTTAAGCTTTTCTGCCACCGGAGCCAATTAAAATGGTTCTTATTTGTTTAATTAATTTAAGAAAACAAATACCTTAAAAACGCTTACACTTGATATATATCCATAATATATCCATATTTCCAGGTGGATCTTATTTCCGGGGACGATCGTAGATGGAAACTAGCCCATCCCGAGATCCCGCAGCGTACAGGCAAGATCAACAATGTCAACAAATTCGATGCTTCGTTCTTCGGAGTGCATTATAAACAGGCCCATACTATGGATCCTATGTGCAGAATTCTGCTTGAGAAGGCTTATGAAGCCGTTATTGATGCTGGTAAGTGATAATCGGATTACGTTTATTCACTAACACAAATTGTGTAAATTCTTTATTATCGAATGAGTTTTTCTTAATGTTTCAATCTTTGTTATCATAATTATAACAACCTACTGGAGTAATTTACTGTTATTGTATAGGAGATTGCATGCTATTATGCGTAGTAAATACCTACGACGACGGAGGACGAAACTTGTTTGCAACGCAACGGAGTAAGTTGCATTAAACAATACAAACGTGTGATCGGCGATGTGCCGGTTGTCAAATAGCGTCCCCACCCCTCCCGTGCGTCAGTCCGCGCATCTTTCATCTAACCCAACTCGGAGCGAACGAGTTGTATAATTTTATTTATTATGTAATTACGTCATCACACTATAGACGCACACAGCAGGTATATATATATATATACATATTTATATATATATTTGCTATATTTAAGTACTTTTGCGATCTATAATATAACACACAGCATTAACACAACGTACAAAGAACAAATACGCAATTATTTAAGCAGTTTATTTTAGTTTATTTTATTTTGCGACACACACGTCCGTCACTCATCTCAGCTCATTGAAAACCAGCGCCACAGTCAATTGCGGCTGTGGCATAAGCTGAATGAAGTCCTTTTGCGTACGCCACAACCGCACACATGACAGTACAACATTTGTAGTTGTTATATTTAGTACTTTTCTGTTTTGCTCTTTGTTTGTTATTGTCTTATTTCATTTTATTTTAATTTTGTTAATTACGTCTTTTTGTTTTGTTTTGCTTGTCTAAGTAGTATCAATATTTTTTTTTTTTGTATCTACGTGTTGTGGCTATGCAATTCATTAAATTATTCATTAATAAATAACGCACACACTCAACATAGCCCCGCACTAGGGAAACCCTGTGTCGCGGGTGCCATGGACACACATATAGACAACCACAAATTACACCCAAACTCACGAGAGAAATAATTGTAGGCCATACAACTATTTCTCCCGGCCCGGGAATCGAACCTGGGACCTCTGCGTGGCAGTCCGGCATGGTAACCGTTCGGCCACGGAGGCAGTTCTGACGGAGGCAATAACTGTCTATTCTATTCTATTCTAATTTCACAAAAAAGAATTGAATATCATGGTAGCAAAACATCGTGCCATTCGATAAATTAAAAAAATTATAAATTTATTAGTTTTATTAACCATTCCAGTAATTATTAGGTTTACATTTTTTAATTCCGATCTATTTACAAAATTAATATGAAGACATTTATCAGTTCTGAATCAAGGAACATCCTAGAAGGCGAAGGAACTTTCGTTTGAACATAGAAAACTAAGATTTTTTTACGTTGGTAGTTAAAATAGCGTGGTAGCCTAATGATTTAACTTACCACTTCTCAAACAGAGGCCGTGCTTTCGTATCCGTGTTCGCACTTCTGAGTTTTTCGAAATTTACATGCGAAATTTCATTTGAAATTTACTATGAGCTTTTCGGTAAATGAAAACATCGTGTGTAACCCGCACATCGCAGAAGGTTCAAAATCCTCTAAAAAGTGTGAAATTCCTTTGCCCGCATTGAGCCAACGTAGTCGTAACATAACACCTCGCTTATGAGGAGACCCGCGCCCAGCAGTGTGACGAATAAATGGGTCGATCATGATGATGAGTTAAAATACGAATTAATGGGATAAAATTGGATACTGTACTCGTACATACTCCATAATTTCAAACTTCTTTCATCATCGCCTTACACCTACTTAGGTCCTTCAAGTATCTAGATATCCAATTGAAAACCTTTCAACCAGATAATGTAAACGCGGTCGGTCCAATTGAGTGTATTGATATAAGAGATCTCAGAATAATAGAAACCTTTGCCATTCCTGAAAGAAACAAATTTCATTGCATTCATGCGAGAAATAGAATACCGTTGGCTTTATCCCATTGTAATAAGAGCCATTGGTATTTGCTTTACTTTTCATCAGTCAGCGACACACACAGTGTTGTAAAGTAGCGGAAATCATCGTGACATCGATAACCGAAAAATGTAGACTATCGATCATCGATAAATTGGGACATGAAATATATTGTTACTGAATTATCATGCGTTTGTTGTCGAAAGAATAAGTTGCTAACGCAATTAGTAAATAAACAATGACGGCCTCGGTGGCTCTACAGTTAGTGGGATACTATATGCGAAAATCTCGAATTCGAAAACGAGTTGGCGGGTCAAATTTGGGAAAATAACTTTTCTATTTTGATTATGATCTGGGTCCTTGGAATGAGGAAATTTTAATTCAGGGAGCAATTTTTAATAGAGCTCCTTGTTCACAAGAGTTGAGCGAGTTCGTCCAGGCAAGTACTGCCACCTTACCTATTTCTGCCACCAAGTAGTAGTAATGCTCACATTACTACGATCCGGTATCGAAAGGTACCTAATGGTGCTAGTGAACTTACAACAATCTTGGCAACTTATGTCTGAAATTGAGACGACCGCAGTGGTAGTGCCCCTCAGATTTTTGCGATTCAAAGCTCTGAGTGACACTGCAACTGTGCACTACTTGTTTGTTTTACTTGGTATCACAAAAAAGCCTATTGTGTCCTACCGCTGGATAAGGGTTTTCCCCAATATCCGCCACTGCTCCCTGTCCTTGGTGATTTCCCAACACTCTTGCTCAAACCCATCAAGACCGCCCCGCCTACGCCTTGCATCCTCGGGTACCCAAGGATGACGACGTTCTTTTACTTCTTGGGTTGCACCCGGCTTACGTAGCCATCCCGGATTGAGCATGGCGGTTTTGCTCCGCACGTCAGCAATTCAGTTCATCGAACACAACATTGTAGCACACGCTACAATTCAAACACACAGTTCAAATCCCAGCATGCGCTCTGGCAGATTTTGAGTTTTGACTTTGAAACTGGATCAGCGACCATTATTAACTAATAATTTAAAGGTGTGCTTGGTCGGATTTGATCTAAAAAACTAGATACAATTCAAATCAATATTGCATATATTTCGGCTCTTTGCAACTAGATGGCGTTGACGAACGAATCAATTCTAATTGTACTTAACAATAAAAAAATACTACGGTGTAAGAACGTTCCAGTATCATGTATTTCATTGGACGTCTCGCTATACTCACCGTTGGTAATGAGCCTAATTTATCTCAACCTATTCTTAGATGAGATTAGACGTGACCCTAACCATTAATCTAGAAGCCGCGCAGAATTTGTTCCAACTTTATCACTAGAATATGAATTAAGGACTTCTTTTCCAAATTTATTTGCTTGTTTATTATCAAGTGACGGGACGAACAAGCCGTGGGTCCGGTGGCAAGCGCAGTTTGACAAGTCCCATCTGCCTGTAATTTCAATTACCCTTCAAAACCGGAAGCCATAATGCTCACATTACTGCGTGTCGGCACAAATCGAATCTTTCACAAGAAGCTCTACTGCTACTGTACCAGTTCACCGGAAATCAAGGTCCAGAATAATTTACATGACAAGCTTTGTTAAAAAACACATAGGATCAACGTTAAAACAATTATGACTTATAATTTAAACACATAAAAATATACGTACATGACTAATTATAACCACCTATATGTTATACTACGCATATACAGAATGTCCGGTAATGAATGTATCATACTGAAATGGCTTATAGCACAGCTTAAGACTGTTCCAAAAAAAATGGAAACAAAAATCTGTCCCATTGTAGTACCTAAAAAATGTTTTTTTTTTTAAAAGTTAATTATTTTTATCTTATTTTAGGTTTTTGTGCACTATGACTACAAATGAAAGGTGGTAGTGACAAAAGATAAGAAAAAGTACTGGGCTTTTGGAGAATCGATATATCGCCTACTATTTATCAATGAAACTCACCCAGGTCCAAGCCCGCCTAGAAAACCATTAAGCGAAATATATATTAATATTGATATAGCTATAAATCTCTATTATGTTCCAAAGAGGCTAAGAATCTATAATGTTACTGTCAGTGAAATGAAAAGACTACATATAAATCATCGTTGAGGCGATGGGGCCAATTCCTCACTGATAGCACTTGACGTTCTTTGCTACTGAGATCAATTTTGGATAAATAGCGAAATCGGGATGGGCCGTCGGCGTGCCCGGCTGTGTTTAATGTAAAACCATTACGTTTGTCGATTTTTTTTTGTTATGTTACGGTTGACGTTTTGATCATGAGACTCCGTACACTTATACAGACTGTTTTTTTAATGGGACAGTATGGGGGAATCCGAAACCATGGAAGATACGAGAAAACTGTCTTAGGAATCATTAAGTCTTTTTTTGGTAAAACAATTTTAGCATAATCAATTTTTTGGCCAAGCGTGATTTGTCCATAAAAATGAATAAAATTGATCGAAATTTTTGGTGTGGATGTCTGGCACATGCTACGACGCGACGCATCGACAGCGCCCGCTCTAAGGAAACCGTGCTCGGAGCACTGGTGACAACTTATGACTTAAAAGCCACCAGTAATTCCAATAAAAAGCTTTCCTAGCCGTTTAACAAGACGAATTTATTAGATCAAACTTTAAAATTTTACTCTCGGTCCTTGCTTAGCTTGTCGTATTCTATTAAGACGCCCATTTCCTTATCTCATCGTTTTCAATGACTTTTTGGTAATGTATATAGGGCCATTCTGTTATATAAGGGGTTGCTTTGTTGTAAATAGAACTAAGGTATTTGTTCATATAAACGGTACGTTTTCTGAGAACATGTAGGACAGAAATACCTCGTAGAATTAAGTACGCAAAAAATTGTCTCGATGCACTGCATCGAAGGTTGTTTCGTAGCTATGCAATGGCGCGTTTGATAAACGTACATTTGCATCGCTCACATAAGGGCACATCTGCAAAAGCTCGAATGCAATAATAGGCATATAACAATATCCGGTCAATAAAATGCCACCACAAAATCTTTGTGAAAAGGCATCTAACACAATTATTCCATTTCCTTAAGTCGTAAATGTTGAATTCATAGATTGGAAGCCAAGCTCTTATCTGTGGATCCATTAAAACTTCTTCATTTGTAATCATAACTCAATATTGCCTCTGTTGGACTATGGCGGACCCGAAAATTTACATTTGGCTCACTTAGTATTCAAGCTACTCGTGTTTCTGGTGTTTTGTTAGAAAATTTCAGGGTCGTACTGAGAAATTTCGAAAACGTATTTCAGTTAGTTAAGCTTTCGAAGTTCGTCTATTTCATTTAGAACTAATAATAATAAACCCATAAGAGCGACGGTAGTTTAGACATAGGGAAAAGCGTTACATTTCTATCACCGTGACTATCGTTCCAGTTACAAAAGAATCACAGTGACAAATCACCGTGATTTTGTCACGCCTGTCACTTACATCACGATATATGGTTTTGGCAACCAGCTGCTTTCTAATAGTCGTTATTACTCATTTTGATGTAACGTTTAATTATATTTGAAAAATTGATCCTCTATAACCTTTACAGTTTTACAGGCTTGTCGCATTATGACTAAATAAATTAAAAAAATACTCATGCGGCGTGTGTTTCATCTTGGATCCATTTTGTACAATTAACTTCTTTATATTTACAATATTTGCAATGATCTATGTATTTCTTGGTTTATAATTAGAGTTTAAAAATAAAAGCGAACTACAATGAGTAATTCAGCCGCCAGTCTCTACAGAACTGAGATCGCCTATAATTTTGTTTTGTAATACGTCGTATGTCATGATGTGAGTGCCGGAGACAGGGAACGGAGGAATAACCTATGTGATTTTGGAATGTCGTTCCTTCGTAAAAAAATCACGGTGATACTATTTGACGGCTGTTCACCGTGATTTTTTTGTGTGACCCACCTCTACGCTAGTTTAGTGGGTAATAACTTCCATACCTGGCATTGTTAAACTACGCGGGCTTCATATTCCTTCCTTCCTCTCTGCTAGATATGGAATGGTCTACTTGCTGAAGTATATATTCCCTTTGCGTCATGTGGTTCTTTAAAAAGCATGTCAACAGGGGGAGCAATTCTGTTTATTTTATTGGAATCGCTGGTAATTGTAATTCCATTAAAACTACATTAAGATTACGCTTCAATTATGATAATATTTGCTATTCTGCTAAAATCTAGTTGTAATGGCAGTTGAGTCTTAGTGGAATGGCAGTGATGACTTTAATTTATTCAATCTCTAGTGATCGATATTACCTTACCAAAACTACCATGGAAATTAATATACAAATCTTAAATTTTATCTCGTCTAATCAGCAATTTAGTCTTAAAATTGTCGGAGCCAGCTGTCACTTCAAACATAATTTATTAGATAAACGACTTAGTAAGCTATCTATGAATAACTTCAACTAGTCTTGATCACGATTTCTTTGTTTACAAATGTCACATTATTTTGACAACTCAAACAGGGCATCGCAGGAGAGAGCGGGCTTATTGTGTAAGTTGCTTGGACAGTGGAGACGTGTACCGCCTTCCTGAACTTGCTGCGTGATATTTAGAATCCATTTTAACCGCATCCATCTTTTATACTTTCTGACTAATTACTATGAAAAGTGCACAAACGAGTAGCAACAGAGCTCCTTGTGAATGTGTTAGTCCTGGGTAATACTGCCACCTTACCTGTTTCTGCCGCCAAGCAGTAATTCAACATTACTGTGTTCCGGATTTGCGGGGTAAGGGTGCTGGTGAAATTACAGGCACATGAGACTTGTCAACTTATGTCTCAGAGCGACCCCTCAAATTTTTGCGATTTAAAGTTCTGAGTGGCAAAAAAAAGATAATAGAAACTTTATTGTTGGCACTTAGGACCTTTTTTTGAGGACATCCTCTCAAGGTTAAGTAATGACAGTGCATATTTAACTCAGCGGCAGTTTTTTCCTAAAAAACATGTTTTAAATATCGTAATCGAACTTATCAAATCAATTAAAACTTTACCTTACTGCTTCGAGTTTAAGGATAATATTTGAAGTGGTTTTATAACGAATTGAAGAGTTTCTCAATAGTAATTATAACCGCCTGGTTCCGTAAAATTTAGAAAACGAATTTTGAATTTAGCAAATGTTACCCCTGCTGTGTTTTTGAACAATGTGTTTTTCATCGCACTTGCTAGTAAGGAGTGTCGTGACGTGCAGGCAAAGACGGCCGTAATATCCTAAATTACGCCCACGGGCTTTTTCGTTGATTTTTTAAAATTAACACTTTCCTTATACGTTAAGATTAACCAAAAGTTTTAATGCTTGAAAATGTAAATGTATTTCACATAAGCTTGAATTATAGAAAAAAACATTAAACACTCGCATTTTTTTTTACTATATTTTAGTAAGTAAATTATAGCATTTGGAAATTAATTATTTTGTATCTAATATATCATAGCTTCATGCGATTTTGCCTTTTAAAAATTTTTTTTTCGAGTTGCCATTATCTATGTAAGAATAGTTGCCCACTGTTTACAAAAAAAAGACAACTCCGCCACTTGCAAAATCCGTATCCGTAATACAAGAAATAAATCATTATTGTCTTTATTTCCTCGTAAATGTGATGAAAAGCATTGTACGTGTGAGCAGTAAAAAAATATTATTTTTTTTAAATTACACAATTCTTTTACCACCTTGAATACACTGTATTACTTCATCGTACTTGTACATGTAAGTGAGGAAATGGAAGAAGTAAGAGAGCTGAAAACTCTACCTACCCTGTTAAATAAGTTATCATACGGCTCCAGGATTTCTTTTGTTTCTACGCTCGTAATGAAAAATGTGTAGATATAACATTGACTTACAATTATATGGACGTCGGGTCCGCGCTAAAAAGTGTCCGCACTTATAAGGTGCTAAAATCGTATACAGAGCGCTACAAACTCCGCTTTAGTCTTCATTTGTTCTACTGACAGCGCGATACTGCGATGACATTACAATTTAAATTTCGAATAGGTTGATTTGGGACATTTTTTTCGTGGTTTTTCATTGACTTACAATTATATGGACGTCGGGTCCGCGCTAAAAAGTGTCCGCACTTGTAAGGCGCTAAAATCGTATACAGAGCGCGACACTCCGCTTTAGTCTTCATTTGTTCTACGGACAGCGCGATACTGCGATGACATAACAATTTAAATTTCGAATAGGTTGACTTGGGACATTTTTTTCGTGGTTTTTGTATTAGACCCGTCGTCCATTTATTTGTAAGTCAATGTGGTTTTTGTATTAGACCCGTCGTCCATTTATTTGTAAGTCAATGAGATATAACATGAATTTTTACTCACTTTGCGCTTGTTCAGGTAGACGTCTCTAATGGACGTTACGCGTTTCGCGGCCGGTAGTTGAAATGTCTTCGGTACATTTTATTGACCAATTTTCTCTTTTACAGGTGTTAACCCAAAAGAGCTTCGTAACACCAAAACCGGTGTATTCGTGGGGGCTTGCTTCTCTGAATCCGAGAAGACATGGTTCTACGAGAAAATGCAGGTCAACGGCTTTGGTATCACTGGGTAAGATAATCCTATTCTTTATGACAACACATCATATACATATATAGTCTGCCTTTTTTAAAGACGGAGTAAAATGACATTTGTAAGGTTGCCAGTTTTCATAAAATTTTAAATAGTTATGTAGTTGTTGTCGATAGTTTTATGGATGGATTATAAAAGAAGATAAAATTTTGCCAAAAATGACTGACTTGTGAATGTTACGACTTTCTAATGATTACTTAATTTCACAGTTGGCTTAGTAATATCGAGTTAAATTTTTATTCATATACATTTTAAAAAAACTAGCGGGATTTGATTATCTGCATTGAATCAAAATTAAAAATTTTAAAATACGTCACCTCTTTACATGTTTCAGAAACATAGTTCTAAATACAGTGTATGTATATATGAACTTACAAAAATTGACAATTTAAATGAAATTTTTATTGAATTGATATTCAATTATTTTTTATGAAATTACTCCACTAGTTTGTTATAATTATTAATACAAAGATCGACTCAATCAGAAAAAATTCCTTCGATCCGGTCGGATTCGAACCGACGCACGTCTTCTTTAAGATCGAAGGAATAATTGAATATCAATTCAATAAAAATTTAATTAACACAGTGAATAGCGACATCTCTCGGCAGGACTGGTAGCTGTAAAGGTACTAACTGGGTGATAAATCTGTAATAGATTTCTCATAGATGGCGCTACGACTAAAAAGTCGTTGAAAGACCAAGTACAAAGACACGACGCAAGCACATAGAGAAATTCGTGAGGTCCGTTGGTTCGTTCCGTGGCTTAGTTGGTATAGCGTCTGGCACGGTATGCAAGAAGACGTCGGTTCGAATCCGACCGGATCGAAGGAATTTTTTCTGAGTGTTCGATCTTTGTATTAATAATTCTAATTTAAATGAACTTGTGCTCAATAATTGAATGAATAATGGTTCGAGAGAGATGATTCAAATGAAACAAGTTAGGTTATTTATTCCATAAGTGTGACCAATATTCAGTCGATAGTCGATAGAATATTTATCGACCGCAATCACTAGCTGCCCGCAAGCGGGCAACACTTTTTCACACTTAACTGTCATTTTACTCCATCTTCAAAAAAGACAGATTATAGTGAAAGCAGAGCTTCTCGTGGAAGTTACGACACTACTTTTATTTCTGCTGCTAAGTACTAGTGTGAGCATTACTGCGTTCCGGTTATTTGTCAGGAAACTGCATTTGCTTCTTCCACGTCTGTTATGTGTCATCTCGTTATGCATTCACTTTACATAATGAATATATAATTATATATAACTTAATCGAAGTCGCTCTTTTCTACTTGTGCAAAGTGTATTAAGAAACTGCTCTTACATGTAAGTATTGCCTTTCATACAATCTATTTATGTTTACTTTATTTTCTTCTCCTTAAAGAGAGCCTCACATTCAATATATTCCAAGTAATATGACTCTCATCCCTCTACGTCATACGTCCATTTTCTCTCAAAGAAATTCCAAGTGGATTTATCACAAATGGCATACTTATTACATGGATTCTAGATCGCAGTAAACATCAATCAAATATCGTCCAAGTTTATTGCTTAACCGATATCTTTCTAAAGCTATCACGGAACTACGAATTTCGATATTGGGAACGAGATAGCTAAAAAAGCCTCTATTTATGCTATATTTGCTTAGGTGTACATATCAAGTATTGTGAGACTATACTTAGTTCCGAATCTAATTTACTCTTTACATGATTAATTTATAGTTAACATAGTTTGTAAACAATGTTTTTGTGTTAACAATGTTTTTGTTTTTGAAATTGATATTGATATAAACGCAAAACATTAAATTAGTGTCCAAAATGCCAAAGTGAATTAATGCTATTCCGGTATATTACTAGACCAATATTATGAAAAACATTTCCCCGCAATTTGAGTGCTTACTTCTAAATTCCGCATTAACTTCTGTCCCTATGCAGGTGCCAAGTAATTTGCCATAATATCATCATTTTCAATTCCTTGGATCAATGGCAATAATAATATGTGAAACAACAACTTAAATTACCTTACCATATTGAGAGAATTCTTTCCTAGTAGTGAGACATAGTTACAAGTAAATTTTAGTGTAAGTGGCCATAAACTGAACAAAACATCAGTTAAAACTTTTATAACTGGACTGGTAGTAGACAACGGCGCAATAATGGACGTACAATTGTGACTGAAACGGGAATAAACGGGAGCTCTGTTTAATCGCATTATGACACGGATCGTCGCTATAAAGACTCTTCACAAAACGCTACACTGGTCGTATGTAGTATCTTCTACACATACTTGTATTACAGGTCATATACCAATCTTTCTCGGATCTTATATATCAACCAATATCAAACAATCCATTGTTTGATATTGGTTGATTTTTCTGGATGTGTAAAGATCCATCTTTACACATCCAGAAAAATCATTCAATCATTAATATACTAAGAACAAGAATGGTTCCGGGACGCTACCCTATGGTACACAAAATACAAAAACTTTACTTTCATCTTATTTATTGTATTCGGTATCTCCACGACAATGATCTGTTTATCTCCAGAATGTCCATTTGATATTAAACAATGCCGCTCATTTAGCTTATAAACAATTGCTGTGGTTATTCAGTTCGTTTTGGTTTGTGTTCGTAACTTGTTAAGAGTGATTGACGTACTTAGTCAAATGCTTTGTTTGGATTCTATTGAATTTGGAATAAATACAAAACTAGATTTAATTAAACATATTTCATTTCTCTAGTAATATAAGTGCTATACAATCAGAAATTTCGTTACACACTACATTTGGACTTTCGACCAACCTACTGTAAATTAGTTACATATAATTCAATTTCAGTCTTAAATGTAAAATGCTGGGTTTTCACATGTTACTGGTTTCAAATCAATATGCTGTACCTTCCAGTTGCTAAAACGCTACGATCACCCATAACATAGATATCATAAGAAGTGGCTAAAAGGCTGGTAAAGCCAGAAGATGTGCGGAAGCGTATCCCCATTGTATTAAATTGCAGCTTTGCTTGGGTCGCGAATGCTAACGCCTGGAAAACGAGGCGATTATAGCAATTTTCCTTTGAAACGCTCTGGTCTGTTGTAGACCTATGCCAACAAAGTTGTTTGTCACTTACACCACTACGCCTCTGGTCCGTAAAGCTTCATTCAAAAATGGCCTCTAAGTGCAATCTTCGTAGAGCAGAAAGATAATATACACTGAGGAAAACAAAGCACGGCGTACTATCTATTACTGCTGCCCGTTAGTATATTCTTTATTATATTGTAAAGTAGTTCACAGTAGTACGGAACAAAACTTAAAGCCACTTTGGCCTTTTCATTATGAACCGAGACGTAACCGAACAGTTTGTTTGAACAACAATAATCTTCTTAACAATTATGGGTTTAATGCCTGTTAAATTCGACGATATTCGTTTCTTCTAAGAACAGATATTCATGCTTAACAGTTCTTTTAATTTGAGAATAATTGTCTTGTCATGTCACTGTAATTAAAACATTGTATTATATATATACATAGTATATATTATATATTATTCAGGTTTAATTTCTTACTATATTCTTCATGCGTCTAACGTGAGTGAGAGCCTATAATGTTAGGTATGATGGTCAATGCCTGGACAAACCCTTCACCATCTCATAGATCTACGAACCGTCTTAATTGCACGGGTCGCAAGAGGCATACCGTATTTTTGCAGAGCTCATTCAGCAAGCAGTCCATCCCTACACAATTTCATAGGAATGTCTTCGTGTCCCAGTTGTCTCCTCACTGAGATGTGAGGGCAAAAGTATGCTTTCATTGTGATGGATTGTAGTATGATAATTACTATAAAACCTCTGTCTTGTTTTCAGATGTTCCCGCGCCATGTTAGCAAACCGCATTTCATACTGGCTAGGAGTGACTGGACCGTCTTACACTGTAGACTCAGCGTGCTCAAGCTCTCTCTACGCCTTGGAACATGCTTTCAGGTCAATCAGAGATGGACATTGTGACGCTGCAATTGTCGGAGGATCGAATTTGTGTTTACATCCTTATGTGTCACTCCAGTTCTCTAGGTAAAATTGTATTTGTATTTGAGTTTGCCAAACAATCATCATCTTAGTCTCAAATTAGTAACGAAAACATTTCCCTTCCCAGGACTCTAAATCGGTCCTATTTAGAATCATATTCTTCATTTGGTTTGTTGTCATCTTAAAAGCGCCAGCTTAAGTATAGCCGGATATTTTTGTTACACCCCGTGACTGGACTAGAGCTTCTGATAATATGAAAATCGTTATGTAAATGAAACTAAATTTACTATGTTTGGTTTGTATGTTTAGATTGGGAGTATTGTCCCCCGACGGTCGATGCAAGAGTTTCGACAACAGTGCCAACGGATATGCTCGCTCTGAAGCTATTGTCGTCTGCTTCTTGCAGAAAGCCAAAGACTCAAGGAGGTAAGTAATGTGACTTTTCTTCAAGATTTCGCCTAAAGGGCTCTTTTTTTTAAAAGAACGAAGGTATTCGCCGAGTTTCGTAATTATATAATATAAGAATCCTTCATTCTTTTGGTACTTAACCTTTTTTCCACTTTTTTATCTAAGTCTATCCTCATATCTCTTATTTATCCTCAGAGTATATGCCCAACTTCTCCACGCCAAAACCAACTGCGATGGTTACAAAGAACAGGGTATCACGTATCCTGCCGGCCACATCCAGAAATTGCTTCTCAGTGAGTTCTACGAGGAGTGCTCCATCTCAGCAAATACTTTGGAATTTGTTGAAGCTCACGGCACAGGTTTGTTCACGTTCTTTTCTACTACTTGGGATATTTTCTACATCACACTTAGTACCAGTATCTTCAGATACTTTCTGTAGTACCATTGCTTACACGCCAACGTTTTATATATCACTAATAACACGAATATTACCAATTGTTGACATATTATATGATGACACAATACAGGACACAGCAATGTGAGCTCTAAACACTAACATTCAAATACAAATGTCGAGGCGAGATCGGTTTAAACGAATATATAGAGTGATAACTCTAGACAAATAAAACACTATTAAAATATAATTCAACCAAAATTTATCAAATCATGTTTTCATTTTCATCTCCGTGCCCACCTAATTTGTTAAAGACAAAACATAATCAGATAAAAATTGAATAAAAGGGTACCATTAACGAGGTTAATGAAGAGAACAAAGATAAATATAATTTGAAAGTTACAATAAAGAAAATATTAACTTAATAACACGATGACAATGGTCGTGTTCTACTGATTGAAGCTTTCTACGAATTTTTCGATATCGTTTAGAAAACCAGTGTTATAGTTTATTGTGATAGTATAATTTTCAATTTGCAATATTTCATTCAAAAATTGAGAAGTCAGGGACTGATGTCAGAGATGTTAGTGGTACTTGGTAAGAGGACAATAATTATCTCGTGATATTTACCATTTTCATATTGAATTGACTGGCTTTAAATTGTTTCATAAGGGTGAAAGCCATGATCGTGGATACATAACCATTACCATGCGGTACTCCCAAAATTTCATCCATGTCATTAAATTCGATACTGGCAAAATTGCCACCAGTTTAGTGTAGATAAAGCTGTCCTATGCAGAAAAAAAATTAATGCCTACAAGGTGTTATAAGTCAACCCACGCAATAAATACGGAACATTATTACCACCCCAGAACTGGGAAAAAAAATCATGCAAATACAGATGCAATTGATCATTCCAAGGCCATTGACTTTTTCTACTTGAAAATGAATGTCCTACACAGAATGATAGATCAAATATATCACCTACATACCTCTCCGTTCCACTCCGCTTTTCTTTATCATCCATAGAAACTCCATTCTTTGATTGGGTCTCTCCTCCCTCTTTTCCCTTCTGTCAAAAAAAAATTGAACTTACTATATAAAGTTTTTTAAATTGAGAAATTCTTAAGATCTACTGACTCGATATGTAGCTCAGTTGGCACAGCGGTAGCCACGTGGAGGCAACAGACGCTGGTTCGAGTAGTTTGTTCGCTCTTCGTGTCAATAATAATAATAACTAATAACTAACTAAAAAAAACTAATAACTAAAAACTACACCTAACTGTCTCCGTGGCCAAACCGTGGTTGCCACGCCGATGTCACTGGTTCGATTCCCGAACTGTAAATGTACCTGAGTGAAGAAATTTTTTAAGTTCTCACAGGTGGCGTTACGGCAAAAAAAGCTGTAATAACCGAATACAAATATCCGCAACTAGCACGTAGGTAAATTCATAAGATCCGGTGGTTAGGACAGGTGGTAGCCACGTAGTGGCGACAGACGCTGGTTCGAGTCAAGTCGACTCAAATTAATTTTTCCTTGTGTTTGTTCTAAAACTAAAAGGTATCAATTTAAAAACAAAGAAATAATGAAGACTTAAATTAGAATCTGTGTTCTCGGCATTTGCAATCAACAGAGAACGTGCATCCGATAGCTGAAGACAATGAAGTGTCAAGAATGAATAGGCAATAAGTGTAAAAAATGGGTCAAAAACATCCGGGCACACCTAGGGGGCAGTTAGGGAACCAATTTAAAACCCGTTAGCAGCAATATAGATAGGGGAATTGCTCTTTTAATGCCATTTTTTACTGTTGCAATCTTTAAGAGATAGTGGTTCTTTAACGAACAGGCCTCCATTGATACTTATTGTGGTTAATTTGGTTTCTTTAAAGCGAGGACGAGATGCGGAGAAAAACTGTTTTACTAGATCAAATCTTTTACGATACACCTAAGGATATTGCCTGAAGAATGTTCTAATTTGTTAAATCGCACTGCTATTACAATAATGTTATAACTCAAATATGTGAAATTGAAGATTATACCATTATTGAACGTAAAATTTGATTCTCTACATGTCATTAAAACCGTCTTTAGAATATCGTAAGAAACAACTAATAGATATCTACTTAACTTAAAATGAGACACGCTTTATGTCAGCTAGTTCTGGCCAAAATAGTCCTTATTCAAAATTATAAAATATTTTTTCTCTTTTATTTTTAAATATATTTAGCATGTAGGTAATTGTTTGTAATAAACTATAACCTATACATGTGTTCAGGAACCGCATGTTACGACTGGCGAAATGGCGGCAAATAATAACTTTTCTCACGCATGTCACACAACCGTAGTTTTTATTTTTAATTCATAGACAAAGTAGAACAGGCCCCCAACTATCATATCGTTCGATATCAAGTAACGTGTGAAATTGTCAAAATCGTTTGCTATTGCTATTTCATTTTGAATAAAACTTCATCTCGACTGATATCGGAATTGAGGTCCAATCAAATTGTTTTGTTTTTCAGAGTGTTCGAAATTTGATATCGAATTCGATGTTATTATGAAGCAATAATAACATTTTCACAGATAAGAAATTTGTTCTAACAAAACAGTTTACCTTTATGCTGGTCGTAATTTGCGGTTTTTGAACACATTATAGAGAGTTTATAATATGTGTGTAAATATAAGAATTTATTTCAGACAACGCTGTTACATGTTCATATAGTGTTAATAAATAGATGTTTACAACTATGTTCATGAACATGAATGGACATCCAATACTTAAGGATTGCGCTATTCATCTATATGCTATCACCCTAAGCAGACAGTTGGTGCTGCCCCTCATTCTAACCAACAGGGATGCCACTCTCTTGCGAATGATTGCCTGAAAGCCGCCAACATCCCCAAGGTCCTATACTATGGAGACTATTGATGTAACTTGAAAAAAATCATTTTATGGAAAAATAGTACAACAAAACAAAAATTTGTATTTTTTTCGAAAAAAGTAAAATGAAATAACTGAAATAAATAGCATCAACTTAAATAACATTAACTGTGATTATTTTACTTTATGGATACTGTAAATATGAATTTCCAATCCAATCCACTTGACAATCAACAACAACGAAGAGTTAATTGCACTGCTTTCAATCAAATTATAAACTAAACAATGAATGAGGATTTTTTATAGGGTAATTTCCCGTCCATAGACATAAACGTCAGGGAGTGCTGCCCATTGGTCTTGAGCAATAATATAAACAAAAGAGGTAGTGTCAAATTAAATCTAAAAAATATAATAAATGTAATGTAAAATGTCCCAAGTCAACCTATTTAAACGTAGTGACATGTAAAGGAATATGAAAAAGCTAAAACGTTGAATTTAAATTGTAATGTCATCGCAGTACTGTCTAATTTTGCTTGCTTCGCTGTCAGTCGAACAAACGAAGACTAAAGCGTGAATGACGCTCTGTATACGATTTTAACGCCCTATAAGTTCGGACACTTTTTAGCGCGGACCCGACGTCCACATAATTGTAAGTCAATGAAAAAATATAACAAATGTATGTTGGAACTATGTTATTGTCACGGCACTTTTTGAGAAAAGTTAATGCAGCTAGGGCGCGCGCACGTTTGTTCTTGAGGTCTTCGAACCGCCGGATTTTATTTGCAACACCCAGTCCGTACTGGTGTACATATCAAGTTCTTAGGTTTTCGCGATTGTTACACATGGGAAATGAAACTATTTGTCCGGATTTCAATCGCGTATATTTGTTTATTCAAACAAACCGACGTTTTGGGCCCTTTACAGGTCCCATGGTCACCTATAAGTTAACCTATGAGTCAACTATAATAAATGTGTTTTGTTTTTCGTTATTTTTTCACGGTCTTTTTACAACACTAATTTAGACAGCCTCAGCCGTCCCCAGAGTCAACGTTGTTAAATTCGACACGCAAGGCACTGTAAGCTTTTTCACTGTAATTGTTACACAGTTTGCAAGTGTGAAAAATCTGGTAATTTGTTTTATATTTCTTTTTATTTATTTATTTTCAGGTTACAAAAGACCCGTAAACACATACCTTATAGACTAACATAAGTACATAATAATATAATAAAAACTATTTATTTATTTACACGTATGGACCACGACGTGTGACGCAACGTGGGTGTCCGATAGCCGTCCTCGGAAACCTCTTCGGCCAAAAATCCTCCTTCATGAAGGTCGACCGATGTTGAGTTGGTACTCTCACCACAAATGAATTAAAATTCACCTTGTTGCGGGACTCCAACTGCTCGACCCTCAGGGCAGCTTTGGCTTTCACCCGTATGTACTCCACGATATCCGCAAACTTTGTGAAGAAATGAAGTCGTGTCACGTATAGCAACGTCAGACGTTGGACGCAATAGATGGTTGGGGCCAGTCGGGGCGGTGCCATTAAGGTTACGGCTAGTGTACTTCTTTTCTTTTCCACCTTTTTAAAGAGGGTAATTTTAACCCCATGAGCATCTTGCAAACCTGCGGGCTAGCGTGTTTATTACACTTTACCGCCAGTGCCCTAAGAATGAATTTCTCCATCCGTTAGTAATATAGTGTAAACATACCATTGTTTTTCTTCAGAATCTTGAGAATTTGATCAATTTCTTAACTTTTTCTCTAAACTGTGATGAATATAAGTATTGACTAATTTAGTTGAACTCCCTGATACCATTGATTTGTTCCTGATACGAGGTCGTGTTACTTTGGTTCAGTTTTCCAAGTTAACCTCTAGAATGCGCCCAGGCATACAAATCTTATTCCCGACGGATATTGAACTTCTAAGTCGACGAGGTAAGTTACTCGATTACGGGCTCTCAGTCTACATTAGGAAAGTTTTGACAGTTTTTATTTCACCTGCGTCACACTGGTAACAATCTACTTTTATCATACTTGATAAATTCTTTTGTACGTCCATTTGTTTGTTTCGTGACGGTA